ATTTCTTTCTTCTAGCATGGTAGCCTTTCTTCATTATGAACTTACCAAATCTCTTGACAAAGAGAGCCATCTTCTTATCATCCATCTCATCAAAGCTCAAGTCTTTATCTTCACTTGATGATTCTTGCTTTGCCTTCCCCTTTGAAGATGTGGCCTTAAATACCACACTCTTCTTCTTCTCATCCTTCTTCTCATCTTTCTTCTTTTTCTTTTCTTCCTTCTCATCATCATCTCTATATGTATCATCAGTCATTATATCTCCCAACACTTGGTTTGGTGTCATGGTGTCCAAATCACTCCTCACTAGAATAGTGACCAATGTGCCAAATCTTGAGGGTAAGCATCTCAAGAACTAATGGGAGAAGCCCTTGTCCTCCACCTCCTCTCCAAGTGCTTTGAGATCATTGACAAGCACTTGAAGCCTATGGAACATTTTCGGCACACTCTCATCCTCCTTCATCTTGAAGCTTGCAAACTTCTCTTTGAGAATGTATGCCTTTGCATCCTTCATGGCTTGAGTGCCCTCAAATGATTCTTCCAACTTCTTCCATGCCACATGAGCTCTCTCAATGTTCTTGATTTCCTCAAATGTTCTCTCATCCAAAGCATCATGGATGGTACTAAGAGCAATGTCATTATTTTGGAGTAGCATCTTTTCGACGGCGGTGGGAGCCTCTTCATCATCAATCTCAATCTTGGTCTCCATCACCTTCCAAACCTTCATATTGATTGACTTGATATAAGTTGTCATCTTTGCCTTCCAATAGGGATAATTTGATCCATCAAATTGGGGTGGCTTCTTGGTGTTGTTGATTTGAGTCATTTTTACACTGAAGGTTGTTAAGCCTCAAATCACGGTGACCTCGGCTCTGATACCACTTGAAAGGTCCTAATGGCTAGAGGGGGGTGAATAGCCTATTAAAATTTCTACAACAACACTTAGCAAACCGGTTAGACAAATATAAGGCAGAGCGAGTGTTGCGCTAGCCTACTAAAAATGTAAGCCACCTACCACAATTCTAGTTTCTATAGTCTCTATCCACATAATTGCTATGTCACTATACTAAGTTAGTGTGCTCTTAAAGGCTAACTAAAGAGCCACACTAATCAAACTAACAAGCTCTCACAAGATAGAGCAAGATGGTTATACCATCAAGTCGAGGAATGAACCAATCAATCAATCACAAAAATAAATACCAATGAATGCCAATCACCTTGAAATCAAATGATGACACAATGATTTTTTATCGAGGTTCACTTGCTTGCCGGCAAGCTAGTCCTTGTTATGGCGATTCACTCACTTAGAGGTTCACGTGCTAATTGGCATCACACGCCAAACCCTCAATAGGGTGCCGCACAACCAACACAAGATGAGGATCACACAAGCTACGAGCAATTTACTATAGTACCTTTTGGCTCTCCATTGGGGAAAGGTCAAGAACCCCTCACAATCACCATGATCGGAGCCGGAGACAATCACCAACCTCCGCTCGACGATCCTCACTGCTCCAAGCCATCTAGGTGGCGGCAACCACCAAGAGTAACAAGTGAATCCCGCAGCGAAACACGAATACCAAGTGCCTCTAGATGCAAACACTCAAGCAATACACTTGGATTCACTCCCAATCTCACAAAGATGATGAATCAATGATAGAGATGAGTAGGAGGGCTTTGGCTAAGCTCACAAGGTTGCTATGTCAATGCAAATGGCCAAGAGCGTGAGGTTGAACCAGCCATGGGGCTTAAATAGAGAGCCCCCACGAATAGAGCCGTTGGCTCAATTATTGGGCAGACTGCGCCGGACGCGTCCGGTCGCCAGCGTCCAGTCTCTGCCAGTTCCCCACGTGTCCCATTCAAATTAAGTAGCCATTGCTGCCACGAGTACCACACTTAGCTGAGACCGAACGCGTCCGGTGTCGACGACCGGACGTAGGACGGGCAACGTCCGATCGAGTCTAGAGAGCTCCTAGAGCTGCTCTGAGCCGACCGGACGCGTCCGGTCACTCTAGACCGGATGTAGGAGACTCAGCGTCCGGTTGAGTCCAGAGAGCTCCCAGAGCTGCTCTGGACTGACTGGACGCGTCCGGTCACACCAGACCAGACGCTCTTAGAGTCCGATCAATTTTAACACTGACACCCGAGAGTTGCTAGTTCACACCGGACGCGTCCGGTCGCTTCTCTGTAAACCTAAACCAAGCTAACTCTTATTGACCGGACGCTAAATAGTAACTCGTCAATGTCCGGTCACTCCACTAGGCTAGAGTCCGGTCGTTAATACCGGACGCGTGCGGTCGCCATACCAGACGCGTCCAGTCACTCTGTGACCAACGCGATTAACTCCTTTTCAACTATATCTTCTTTACCCTTGCTCAAATGTGACAACCACCAAGTGTATCACCTTGTGCACATGTGTTAGCATATTTTCACAAACATTTTCAAGGGTGTTAGCACTCCACTAGATTCTAAATGCATATGCAATGAGTTAGAGCATCTAGTGGCACCTTGATAACCGTATTTCGATACGAGTTTCACCCCTCTTAATAGTACGGCTATCGAACCTAAATATGATCACACTCGCTAAGTGTCTTGATCACCGAAACAAAATGGCTCCTGCCACTTATATCTTTGCCTTGAGCCTTTTATTTTTCTCTTTCTTTTTTTCAAGTCCAAGCACTTAATTATCACTATGGCATCACCATCATCATGTCATGATCTTCGTTTGCTTTACCACTTGAAATGTGTTAGCTATCTCATGATCACTTTGATAAACTAGGTTAGCACTTAGGGTTTCATCAATTCACCAAAACCAAACTAGAGCTTTCACAAACCCACGTACACACTGGCTATTTTACTGTAACCTATTTTAATACTCCTAGGCCATATTTGTAAGTTGATATCCCTCCATTCTAAATTGTAGATTATTTATCTTTGTCTTAAGCTAAGCTTCTCTAGTTTTCACATTTTTTCAAAAAAAATGCATAAACATCTATAGCATCAAAGTAGACTTATTATATACACAATATATTTTGATAGTGCATTTATTTGATATTGTAGATTTAATATATTTTAGAAACTTGGTAAAAGTAAGACAAGTTTGAATTAAAACTAATTTAAAACTACTTGCAATAGAACGGAGGGAGTACTTTAGATAAGTTTATACATTTTACTTGAAACATTATAGCACATCAGTATTGTTAATTTAGCTTTAAACACTCTATGTTTCTATAAAACAATAATAATATGCATATAATTCTTCAACACAACAAATAAATTCAACATCATGACTAGTGTAATGCAAGATGAAATAACTATCCATGATTGTCATAATAAAGAGTGGAGCTTTGGACCTAGAATTCATTTTTTTCATAAAATATAAAATAAAATTCTGAATGAAAAACACAATAACACTAGGGTTCGAACTTGGATAAATAAATTGTAACAACAAATAAGATAAAAAAAATATAGGCCAAAATATAGATTAAATGGTTTCAAAAAGGATGCAGGAGACACTTTAATTTAAGCTAAGGTTTCAACTAAATGAATATTAAAAACCCACATCGCCATATAGAGTATTTGGCAAATCGATCACTATTAAATGTACCATTGTATGAGTTGGTGTTATGCAACTCACAACTTTATTTTTATTCTATGCATAAATTAAGAAATTATGGGTTACTACGAGATAATTTAAAAGACAACCATTGTACATGTCTATTAAGTCGTCTTAAAATTACATGGTACTATATGAGACTGTCTACGAGACAACGCCAATGTACTTGCTCTTAATTTGGCATATGTTTTATTAGCACCTAATTACTACATGTAAGTCTTTCCAAATATTTTAAATCTAATTGAAGTTTAACAAGTTTTATATGTTTAACCAACCATCAACACAAGCCTGAGGGTTAGAATCAGGATCAGTGTCGTCTTTCATTTGTTTATGAATTTTTTCTTTTCTTTTAGTTTATTTATTTTTCCTTTTACCTAACATAGTCTAGAGCAGGAGCGAACGGTGGTTTCGCATTAACTAAATTATAAAGTTGAAACATGATAAAATCATAAACGGATTTCAAAGCAGTGTAAGAACACACCCATCTCTCTAAACATAAACTATATACTTAATTTTTAAAACTTAATTTTTAAGATTACAGTCCGTGCAGAGAACGGATTGATACACTACTACCTATTATTGAATCGACGATCAAGGCGTATAACCGTGTTTGTTTTGCATATTTTACCCGTTCAGTATGGACGACGTTCAGGTTTAAACATGGCTAGGTAACAGGGTAAGTATGGACAACCTTGACGTAAGAAAACTCGGAGTGCATTCTTTTTCCTCAATATTATATAGGCCTTACCCCTGTTGAACTCCGGGAGGGATTAAAGCAACTTGGTATTGTTAGGCAGACCAAATGTACGAGTTATTAGAAAAAACTGTCAACTAGAAAAGCTATTTGAAAGAGATTCCCAACCGGCTCCTTTTTTTAAAGGAAAATGGTCCCCTACCCTTTAACCTGTGATTTCCTGGGTGATGAAAGAGCACCCCCAGTGGTGGGATCGGGGTTAGAAGAGTACTTCAGATATAATCACTCGCATAAAACTCAAGTGTGACAATACTTCAGATATGTATCTGCAAGTGTTTCCGAAGAATATTCCGAGCGTTGCTTACTGATGCAATAGAGATTGTTTATAAGAATCAGAGATTAAAGGATGAATGCAAACTCAATGGCACAAGTCAATTTTACAGCATAATTTTAGAGTTTTAGGGCGATGTTTTACTTTTTACAGCACACTTTATAAAGCTGACCGGCTTTGCCTTCAAAGTTGACGAGACAAGAGAAAGCAACTAGCCTATTACATAAACCAGGCTCCAGGTAAGCATATCACTCCATCACCAATTCACCATAAACTTCCGCACTGAAGATTGAAGAACATTAGCTTACCATTACCAACCCATGGAAATGCAGAATACATCTTTCATCTGTTTTGCAGCAGAACGGCTAGCCGAACTTGTTTTCGATGTCAGTGTCTTGGAGCTCACCTTCCAAGTGTAATTGATTCTCCATGGCGATGAGCAGCATGGGCCATTCACAATACAGAATTTCCTCAATATCGTCATCATGGCCGTACTCATGCAAGTGGCTTCTTACATTTCTGTTGAGACGCAGTAGACCGATTGTGCTCCTTCTGTACTCGTGTGTAACATTTACAACCCACTGGTTGATCTTTGCATTTGCCATGGCAGTATCCAACCAGTCGTTCTTGTAGGGGAGATTGTACAGTATTCTCCTCTTCTTTGCTTGGTTGTTCTGACCAAGGTAATTGACAATTCTATCGCGTAGCATCAGGAAGACCTCAGTGCTGTGAACACAAGTAACCAAATGAGCCTGTGGTGACAACAACAAACAGTCAAAGATGATAAAACTGAATAAAAAAAATTACCGGTTTTTCATGGGCAGCAGGGCAGCATTGTTTACAATCAAGAATTCATCGTTCCTTGTAAGGTTGTTTCTCCTCAAGAGCAAGAGGAAATCCTTGTAGTCCGGAGGCAATTTGTTGATATCCCCACCCGAGATCATAATCAACAGCTCCAGGACCCTGGAAAGGTGCTTGTAGTCATCTCTCACACGCTCAATCCTGAAGAAGCCTTCACCAGTGAATCTGACCCCCCTTATCTTGACATTCCCAGTGCTCCCAATCCAGACGTTGGACACCTGCAGAGGAGCAGTGAGGTACTTGCAGACCGAGTGCTGGCTCCTCAGTATCAATGCAAGTTTTCTGCTAATCCTAGTGGCTTCGTCAGATAATCGCCAGAATGTCTTCGTTGTTCCTAACACCGGCACCTGGATCAGCATCGCGTTGTCCTTCGCATAGCTTATCGCGTCGCGCAGCCTCTCGGCAGAATACTCGTCGATGTCCTCAGTGCTATGAACAAAGAGAGAAAAATGAGTCTGTGACTACAGACAATAAAACTGATTCGGACGGAGCAGCGACATGTTTCTCGCAATTATCTGACGAAGAAACAAAGGCCAGCATCTCACTTGTATTGATACTGAGAAGCCACCACTTCGTCGCCAATTTTTGGTCCAGCAGCCTGCCGAAAATACCCAATCAAGCACAAGAAACCGAAACATTGAGGTGAAAAAATTGCAAGAACTTCTCTGGTCCCAGTAGAAACAGATTGGTCCAGGAGGATCCTCTGTCCCTTTTGAAGAAAGAACAATCACTTGTATTTTATTTTCTTTTTTTTGTTTATAAAAAAAATCTCTTGGCACGGGAAGGTCGTCAAAGGCTGAGATTCACTCATATTCCTAGACTAAATTAAGGCAGGCACACATAGGCGATCTACATGATCTGTTAGAGGATGACCTTGCATGCACGGATTCGACTCCTTCAAAGAAATTATAACCTTTGATCATCTTTTCAATAAAAATTATTGCGATATGGCAGGGATGCAAAAGGGGGAGGAAATGAAGGAAGAAGAACATATGTTACCGGCAGTACTTATGTTGACACCGATGTGGATTCGAACCTGGATCAGGGCGGCGTAGCCGACGGTAAGGCCGAGGCCGATGCCGACACCTACGCCAACGCCGAGGGTGTTTCCCATGGAGGAACACTATCTTGCTGCTGCTGCTTCTTGTTTAGCTACCGAGCTCAAAGATGCGGACAGACGTGAGGGAAGAGTAAAGTAAAAGGGGTGAGAAGAAAAACAAAGGAGACTAGACAGGAGACCTTCATCAATATGACTGTTCATGATGGGATGGCAAGACAGTTGGATTCCCTTCTGTTACTTTGGTAAATTTATACATTTTATTAATTGAAACACTATTAGATAAATCTATATTTCTTAACTGAAAAACTATTATATACATTTTTATTGGTAATAAAATTTTAATAACTCTATATTTTATAAAACAATACTACTACATATAATTCTTTAATAAGAAATTTTAATATTTTCTGTAGCGAAAGAGGTTAATAGAGACCAAAAGTAGCTGTGAACTCCTTGATTTCTTAACTCCTTAAGCATAAACAGTATAACCTAAAATCCTTTTCTTTAATATAATAAAAAGAGACTTTTAAATAATATGTACAATAGGCATAGTGTTTCAGTTTAACTTGAGGTTAAACTCAAAGTTCTAATCAAAATCTAGATTCATGATGCCATAAATCAATATTATAGCTTGAGCCATCATAACTTAAACTAAGATTTGAACTAAATGCATTTTGAAGGTACATGGAAATGCCATGCAAAGAGGAAAAACTATGAATATAGATGAAAAAAATGCATCTAGTAATTGTTAATTTATCACAAGAAGACAACGATTACATAAGTTTTATATGTGTATTGTGTTAGAAAATAAATGAACAAAAAAATTTTGCAAAGGGAAGTAACTTTTATTAGTAGTAGGTATTAAACATAAGGGCTCTTATGTTCTTAACCTTGTTTTGAAGTATAAATGTGATTTTACCTTCATTTGTTAAACTTTGTGATTTTGTCTCTTCTTTTTCAAAACGAAGGCATATAGTTCATCCTATTCCGTTCAGAGGAATTAAGAGTACTAGCTTAGCTAAACAAAAACTAGTTTTCCCATGTGATTTGTTTTTTAGTACCCGGTGATTTTAACCTCTATTTTTAATATCAAATATTTGAGATACCATTTAGAAAGAATTTTCATAGAAAAAATTGCAAATATTTCAAATCTAAGGCCAAGTTTAACAAGCTGCACAAGCTTAATCAACTATCGACGGAAGCCAAAGGGTTAGGATAATGTCAAGGTCAAGGGTAATATTATTTTTGTCACATCCGATTTTAAGAACAAAATCAGCACACCATATGTATGATGCGAAGTTATTACTTTATAGCAATAGAAATATCATAAAAATAATGAGTAAAAAAATTATTTATTATAGAGTTGACTCAAAGCACTACCGGAGACCGGCTCTTTGCCGAGAGTGCCAGGTGGTTTGCCGAGTGTTGTTTTTCGGGCACTCGGCAAAGCGGCCTTTGCCGAGTGTTTTTTTTTTGACACTCGGCAAAGAGGCTCTTTGCCGAGTGTTTTTTTTAACACTCGGCAAAGAGGCTCTGTGCCGAGTGTTTTTTTTTGACACTCGGCAAAGAGCCTCTTTGCCGAGTGTTATTTTTTGACACTCGGCAAAGAAAATTTCAAAGCATATTTTGAAGCAGTAAATTAATTCAAATGAAAAAGTTTTCAACTACAAAGTTGTATAACTCATCAAGATGTACAATGTTTGTTTTGGTCTTTTCTTCATATGATAAAGTGAAAGTAAAATTGTTCACAAATCTAACATATCTTTTTTGTAGTTTATGAAACTACAAGAGAGATATATAATATTTGTGAACAATGTTAGAATGACCATGTCGGATGTACAGATGATCAAACAACCAAAATAAACTTTGTAGATCTCGAAAAGTTATGAAACTTTGTAATTGACAACTTTTTTATTTGAAATCATCTTGTTATGCAAAACTGCGTTTGAATTTTAAAATTTTAAAATTCAAATTTTGTAAACAACCTTGGATGGGAAAACTTCGTAAACTAAAAGTGTAGATCTCAAAAAGTTATGAAACTTTGTAGTTTACAACTTTTTTATTTGAATTCGTTTAGGACCTCAAACATGCAATTTACACTTGGCAAAAAAACTTCTTTACCGAGTGTTTTTTTTACACTCGGCAAAGAAGCTTCTTTGCCGAGTGTTTTTTTTTGACACTCGGCAAAGAGCCTCTCGAAAAGTTATGAAACTTTGTAATTGACCATATCGGATGAACAGATGATCAAACAACCAAAATAAACTTTGTAGATCTCGAAAAGTTATGAAACTTTATAATTTACAACTTTTTGATCTGAAAACATCTTGTCATGCAAAACTACATTTGAATTTCAAAATTTTAAAATTTGAACTTTTCAAACGACCTTGGATGAAAAAACAACCAAAATAAACTCTGTAGATCTCGAAAAGTTATGAAACATTGTAGTTAACAACTTTTTGATTTGAAAACATCTTGTCATGTAAAACTGCGTTTGAATTTCAAAATTTTAAAATTCAAATTTTGTAAACGACCTCGGATGAAAAAAGTTACTAAACTAAAAGTGTAGATCTCGAAAAGTTATGAAACTTTGTAGTTTACAACTTTTTTATTTGAATTCGTTTAGGGCCTCAAACATGTAATTTACACTCAGTTTAGTATAATATATTGGGAACTAAAACGAAATGCAGACACAAGTGAGAGTGTGGTGTAGTGGTAGAGGAGGTACGTGAACAGCGGGAGGTCTCGGGTTCGAATCGCGTCGGCCGCGTAGCCATGAAATTCACGCGAAAAATGTCGGAGATGGGTGGGCGCTGGCCGGTTCGGGCCTCCATCGATAAAAAAAATTTCCATTTTTTTGGGTAAAAATTCCCTTTTTTTCGGTTTCAACTTTGCCGAGTGTCGGCACTCGGCAAAGGCTTTGCCGAGTGCCCGACAAAAGACACTCGGCAAAGACGCCTTTGCCGACAGTTTATATGCCGAGTGTTCTTTGCCGAGTGCAACACTCGGCAAAGCCTTTGCCGAGTATAAATTGGGCTTTGCCGAGTGCCCCTGTCACTCGGCAAAGCCACTGATTCCCGTAGTGAAGTCTTTACACAAAAAAAACATAGTTCAATAATAAACATCTATAAAAGATAACAGTAGTGAAACTCCATTCTCCATAGGTAATCGACCGGGGAACATGTATGTCTAGACCTCCAAGAAGTCATCTAATTCTCAACAATCTCCTGCTCTGAGTAGCCATCCATAATTTTGCTAAAAGAACGTAATAAGACAAGCGCGACCACAATTGTACTCAGCAAGTGAGAGAAAATAAATAACATGCTTCGGCTCAGACAAGAAAATAACTGGCTTGGTTAGAATATTGTAAGCTTCTTAGAGCAAGTATAGCAAATTGCTATAAGTTCACGATCTCGTACTAGGTTACGTGGGATTTTACTAATGTGGAGGAAAGAGCTAGGAGAAAGAGAAAGAGGATATTGTTTCGCGAAATAATTGTCTTATGAGCTAAAATTTAGAACTATGAGATAACTATTGACTGTACCATTGTATGAGTTGGTGTTATGCAACTCACAACTTTATTTTTATTCTATGCATAAATTAAGAAATTATGGGTTACTACGAGATAATTTAAAAGACAACCATTGTACATGTCTATTAAGTCGTCTTAAAATTACATGGTACTATATGAGACTGTCTACGAGACAACGCCAATGTACTTGCTCTTAATTTGGCATATGTTTTATTAGCACCTAATTACTGCATGTAAGTCTTTCCAAATATTTTAAATCTAATTGAAGTTTAACAAGTTTTATATGTTTAACCAACCATCAACACAAGCCTGAGGGTTAGAATCAGGATCAGTGTCGTCTTTCATTTGTTTATGAATTTTTTCTTTTCTTTTAGTTTATTTATTTTTCCTTTTACCTAACATAGTCTAGAGCAGGAGCGAACGGTGGTTTCGCATTAACTAAATTATAAAGTTGAAACATGATAAAATCATAAACGGATTTCAAAGCAGTGTAAGAACACACCCATCTCTCTAAACATAAACTATATACTTAATTTTTAAAACTTAATTTTTAAGATTACAGTCCGTGCAGAGAACGGATTGATACACTACTACCTATTATTGAATCGACGATCAAGGCGTATAACCGTGTTTGTTTTGCATATTTTACCCGTTCAGTATGGACGACGTTCAGGTTTAAACATGGCTAGGTAACAGGGTAAGTATGGACAACCTTGACGTAAGAAAACTCGGAGTGCATTCTTTTTCCTCAATATTATATAGGCCTTACCCTGTTGAACTCCGGGAGGATTAAAGCAACTTGGTATTGTTAGGCAGACCAAATGTACGAGTTATTAGAAAAAACTGTCAACTAGAAAAGCTATTTGAAAGAGATTCCCAACCGGCTCCTTTTTTTAAAGGAAAATGGTCCCCTACCCTTTAACCTGTGATTTCCTGGGTGATGAAAGAGCACCCCCAGTGGTGGGATCGGGGTTAGAAGAGTACTTCAGATATAATCACTCGCATAAAACTCAAGTGTGACAATACTTCAGATATGTATCTGCAAGTGTTTCCGAAGAATATTCCGAGCGTTGCTTACTGATGCAATAGAGATTGTTTATAAGAATCAGAGATTAAAGGATGAATGCAAACTCAATGGCAAGTCAATTTTACAGCATAATTTTAGAGTTTTAGGGCCATGTTTTACTTTTTACAGCACAATTGCCTTCAAAGTTGACGAGACAAGAGAAAGCAACTAGCCTATTACATAAACCAGGCTCCAGGTAAGCATATCACTCCATCACCAATTCACCATAAACTTCCGCACTGAAGATTGAAGAACATTAGCTTACCATTACCAACCCATGGAAATGCAGAATACATCTTTCATTTTGCAGCAGAACGGCTAGCCAAACTTGTTTTCGATGTCAGTGTCTTGGAGCTCACCTTCCAAGAGCAATTGTTTCTCCATGGCGATGAGCAGCATGGGCCATTCACAATACAGAATTTTCTCAATATCGTCATCATGGCCGTACTCATGCAAGTG